GGGGGGTGGGGGGGGGGGCTTTGTGCGTTTCTTTTTTGTTCAGTATACATGCATAATTATTAAAATAGAGATACTTGGGATCGTAGAATTTTATCCTAAGGCTTCTTTATATACCTTGGAAAATGCAGAAATATGATAACAATGGTGATGTTACCAATAATGTTACACATTTATTTTTGTTTTAACTTTGACCCATGAGATATTTTTCTTTCCCCACCAACAACAAAATAACAAAATATCACTTTTTAAATATGTATTGCAAATACAACTGCATTATGGAATTACACAATGGTATATGTAAATAGTAAAAACAAAGCAATGCAGTGGCCTCGTAGTTATACTAGTGATACAATGCAGTGGCCTCGTAGTTATACTAGTGATACAATGCAGTGGCCTCGTAGTTATACTAGTGATACAATGCAGTGGCCTCGTAGTTATACTAGTGATACAATGCAGTGGCCTCGTAGTTATACTAGTGATACAATGCAGTGGCCTCGTAGTTATACTAGTGATACAATGCAGTGGCCTCGTAGTTATACTAGTGATACAATGCAGTGGCCTCGTAGTTATACTAGTGATACAATGCAGTGGCCTCGTAGTTATTCTAGTGATACAATGCAGTGGCCTGGTAGTTATACTAGTGATTCAATGCAGTGGCCTCGTAGTTATACCAGTGATACAATGCAGTGGCGTCGTAGTTATACTAGTGATACAATGCAGCGGCCTCGTAGTTATACTAGTGATACACTGAAGTGGCATCGTAGTTATACTAGTGATACAATGCAGTGGCCTCGTAGTTATACTAGTGATACAATGCAGTGGCCTCGTAGTTATACTAGTGATACAATGCAGTGGCCTCGTAGTTATACTAGTGATACAATGCAGTGGCCTCGTAGTTATACTAGTGATACAATGCAGTGGCCTCGTAGTTATACTAGTGATACAATGCAGTGGCCTCGTAGTTATACTAGTGATACAATGCAGTGGCCTCGTAGTTATACTAGTGATACAATGCAGTGGCCTCGTAGTTATACTAGTGATACAATGCAGTGGCCTCGTAGTTATACTAGTGATACAATGCAGTGGCCTCGTAGTTATACTAGTGATACAATGCAGTGGCCTCGTAGTTATACTAGTGATACAATGCAGTGGCCTCGTAGTTATACTAGTGATACAATGCAGTGGCCTCGTAGTTATACTAGTGATACAATGCAGTGGCCTCGTAGTTATACTAGTGATACAATGCAGTGGCCTCGTAGTTATACTAGTGATACAATGCAGTGGCCTCGTAGTTATACTAGTGATACAATGCAGTGGCCTCGTAGTTATACTAGTGATACAATGCAGTGGCCTCGTAGTTATACTAGTGATACAATGCAGTGGCCTCGTAGTTATACTAGTGATACAATGCAGTGGCCTCGTAGTTATACTAGTGATACAATGCAGTGGCCTCGTAGTTATACTAGTGATACAATGCAGTGGCCTCGTAGTTATACTAGTGATACAATGCAGTGGCCTCGTAGTTATACTAGTGATACAATGCAGTGGCCTCGTAGTTATACTAGTGATACAATGCAGTGGCCTCGTAGTTATACTAGTGATACAATGCAGTGGCCTCGTAGTTATACTAGTGATACAATGCAGTGGCCTCGTAGTTATACTAGTGATACAATGCAGTGGCCTCGTAGTTATACTAGTGATACAATGATGTGGCCTCATAGTTTTACTACATTGATAACTCGTTTCATTAATAGAATCGGCATTATTTTCAGTTTTTAAATTAAGTAATACGTTTACACTGACAACAGCATTACCCCTAATGATGCCCCATACTGCATTCTAGTATGTGTTGTTGACAAAATATAAACACAATCAATTATGTGACCAGTTTTACAGTAAATAGTTTGGTAACGACAACCAATCCGATAGCTAGCAGTACCATATATCATTGTAAAACACTCAACAACCGGTAACGTTGGGTAATCGTCGCCGTACGCGTATTATAATCACTAGTCGTGTTTGGTTATGTGACATATACTTACATGTCAGTGTCAAGCACCGGCTATGGAAAGTCAGAAACAAGGTCTATTTTGTCTGTTCCTAGATGTGTCTGCTGAATTTTTGTGCAACCATCTTGGCTTGCTTTAATCTCGCTGTGTAGCTACTTTGCCGTCTCCGTCACGAAGGACTACAATTCGGTTCACATTGCGTCGCCAATGTATTAAAAATTTCTCGTACGATACTCAATATATGCAATACAAATGGGACGTTGAATTAAAATGATTGTATTATATGCAATTGTTAAATATGTTAACAGAAACTTATAATTAGCGTAGTTAAGCGAAAGTGTTAGTTTTGTGACATATTTTCTGAAAATGACACTTTTTATGATTTTTTTAACAGTGATTTTTACCAATATTGTCCCTTTAAAAGGTTTAAAAGTTACGGCACGGACAAGATGTTCCTGAAAAATGTGACTTATTATAATATCAGTTCATTGCACATTGTCTGTAAGTAATTCAGTTATACTACAATATTCATCAAGATACCTTTAAACGGTTTACAGGTACCAGCCTGGACAAGAAATTATTAGTAGAACCAAAGGAAGAGCCTAAAGAAGAATCAGCGCTAAAACTATATGTCTCTCCTTATTCCAAGGAAAGACATAAATAAGGCAGATAAAATAAGGTTTCATAAGGTGCATAATAAAATGATACAAATAAACAAATATAATGAAATATAATAAATAATTAAATGAAAAAGCTTTCCAAAACAGGCAAACGGGGTGAAGCCTTAATGAGTTATGTGCTGATCACAGTAATGTTATTCGCATATTGAAAAAGCTAACCTTCTTTAATCATCTTGAAATGGTATTTGAGAAATATTTATCTCTGATCTCTCTTTATCTCAGCATACATGGACATTTCAAATGGCAATTTAGCAAAATTATTTCCAACATATAGATAAAGGGATATTTGGCACCATATAGGACGCCATCTGGCGTGTAAGCAAAGTTTCACTTTTTATCGAACTTTCCATGAAATGGCTACGGACATTTCAGCCAAGCTGTTTCCTTGGCCTGCATTATGAGGCGCCAAAAGATGACTTGTCGCTCTCATACAAAATTAAGAAATGCACGAAAGCAAGGGAGCTAACAGAGAAGAAATCGGTCGCCAAAGTGTGCTGGCAGCATCAAGTTTGATACTCAGTTAAATTGTCCTCTTTGTCCTTTTAATTGACTCCATGTATCATTTTACAGGAACCCATTAGACAGTAGTATCGACAAGATATCAGTCTGTTTAAGGAGTTTACACAACTGAGTTGCTAACCCTGAGCCTGCTAGATATTATAATGTTCTCATAACATGCCTCCTTTTGACCTATAGAGAACATAGCCACGGTCTTGTACAGGCCACCTTGGTTTTGTACAAGAACATCAACCATAGATTTGTACTTGAGTGACTTCATCTCCTCTAATAAACAGGCTCCTGGAGAATCTCTGAAAAGGTGAAAACCCTAGAGAAGACCCCACTTTCTTTTTTATATTTTTCATTATTTCAATCCTAAACAAGGACTTGTTATTCTTTAATGCATAAATATATGTATTTTGAAAAAATATTTAAGTGTGGTCCATTTAAGAAAATAGACACAGTAGTATGTGATTGTGCTTATATGTAACATTGTTCCCCGGATTAAAAAACACAAGATAGTTGAAGCAAGGTATTTATTTAATAAGCGTATAATAAGAACAAAGGTAAGGCGCAACAGTTTAACAAAACACAACAAAGTATCCAGATCATTGTACACAAAGAAAACATCATTAATTTAAATATTGTATTGTAGTGAAATATCATTTCATATCAATATGTCTGGCGCTGACGCTATGACAGTTAAGAGTATGATATTTAATGTTCTCGTTAATACTGTAACAAGTCGTTGGATTTTTCACTTCATAGCTATGTTTTAAAACAGTACATGAACAGTAATGCATGTGTATAGCAGTAAGAACATATAAACGACGAACACAGGATAGGAACACCGTACACCGACAACAATACATTTCAGATGAATATATATGTAAGCATTATACTGCATTATGTTGAGAAGTATGGTCATATTAATCTTAACAGGGTAACCGAACATTTGAAACGTGAGAACGTGGACTATGTTTTGGGACATTGACTCTTTTCCCCGAGGGAGGTTCGCTGCAATTTGTTCCTGTACAATTTACATGATATACTTGTTCAAAGATATATTATTTGCTGCTCCTGACAAAGGTTTAAGCTACGTTAAATACAGAAAATTTGATTACATTTATCATTTTTCAGCATTAAGTTCAACTTATGTATTCACTGTATATTCTTGGTTTATGAAAAGAATCTCCGTCTGTCTAGACAGGATAAGTTGTATTCAACTGAATAAGTATGACGTCATAATAATGATTACGAAAACAATCGGCACCTGGCATTCAAAGCTCTTGTGAATGCCATCTGAATGTGGTTAGATACGTTGCATGTCAATGGTTGGCACGTTTGTTTGACATAGGCGTGAAAGCACTTAACAGATGATAGACAATACATTGATAGTTAGGTTTAAAGGTTGTGGGGTAGATATAGCTCAACGTAAATAGATATATTCTAATGTATAATGCACTAACATGATAGAGTGCCTATATCAATTCTAAGTGAAGGTGTAAACGAAGAACGAATTATTCATACTGCACTGTGGACGATAAGCTCTACAAATCCTCACACATTCTGCTGGAACTTGCACTGTAGTTATGCAATTTGATATTTTAAAATAATGCATTTTTTAAACTATTTTCCGTCCTCAATTGATTTCTTCTCGCCTATCTTAGCTTCATCGTCCCCGATAGGTTTTCCACTCGTCTCGTGTTCGTTCCTCACCGCGTTTGGTTTGCTGCAGGCTTTCAGTGTCGTAGCTATATATGTTACTGCTGCCAACACCTTACATCCCAGGGAAGCCGTGCATACATAGAAGGACCAACTAGGCGCAAATACCGTCTTAAAACTGAACTGGAATGCAGCGAGAGAAATACTTGACGAAACCACTGTAGAATAAAAGAAAATGCATTAAAACGTATCCAAATATATTATTCTGTTTTAATCCATGCACAGTTCGATTATTTCATTGAGTACACAAGGAAGGCATTCAAATCTACTCAGTTTATAATCTCAGACGGACGATAAAATTTGTAATCTGACGATTGTAATAATAATTAAACGAAATATCCTTTATAGCGCTATACAGCTGAAACATGAATGTCATAGTTATGCAGCTTACATAAGTCATAGTTATACAAGTCATGCAATTAATTTATACAATCAATACCATCTTATGGATTTCACAAGAACTGCTTTATCGGGCGCTAATTACGGGACGTATGTCGCATAGCTGTTTACTACTATACGTCAGTATGCTGCCTGTGTGTGTAATGCGAAACAAATGCTGCTTCAAAAGCGCGGCAATAATCGATTGACGTCATATGTGATGATAAGTGTTAATGTTGCTCTATCCAGTAATACAAACAACCACGTAGTGTTATAATACATTCATAACATCTCATAACATCTATAATGGGGGGAAACAGTTAAAATTAAGGGCCTAGTAAAGGTTTGTGCAGTTTATAATTGTGGAGAAAAACTGAAGTAGGCTTACGAGGGAAAAGAATACCTACTAAAACGTAAGGATAGAAATTTGAAATCGAAAAGATATATGTAAATGAAAGAATTTGGTTGGCAAACAATTTCCGACGAGTCGAACAATTTACACAAAAATCCTATCGTTTATATATAATGGATGTCAATCCAATAACGAAGATAAATCACCAGGAATATAGTTGTACTTTTATCGACAAAACAAAATCGACTAAATTCTCAAGAATTTTTTTATATATCGGAAATTGTGTTCAGTATATTTGAGAATAAGTTAAGATTTTGCATTTAACATACAAAATTAATGGTGTCAGGTCTCCAAAGTTAAAGTGCAAGCAACCAACGCCAACCTTCTACGGCTAACTTTTAAAATAAAGAGTCAAGAGAAAAAAATATGCTGTCTTTGCTAATACATAAACATATATTGTGCCTACTGAATTTAGGATTTCAAGATGCTGTCAGCTGAATTAGTATACATGGATATAAGTACACTTGAGCTCATTGTAAGAACATATGACAAATTATTTCCAACAGTTATTTGATAATGTTTATATATCTTCTAAAAACTCATCGGGATGAATTGAACATTTGATTTTATGAAAAAGACAATTGTTTGATCACAAAAAGAACAAGGTTAACAAGGAATATATGATATGGTGTTCAAAAGATCGTCTATTGTTTGTTTGGTTTTGTTATGTCCGTCCTAAAAACTTTGGAAGGAATTTCAAAAAATAAATTAAAAAAATAGCAAATTGTATCATTACGTTTAATGTATGTCACTACAAGAATTACAACTATGCTATTTGATGACTTTTCTAGTAATAAAAACAATTTCAAAAATCTAATATTCACTTTTATTATTAGTGCGATATCTGTAATAATTATAGAAAAGCCAATTAGTTAAGATGCATGTGTTTTCAACTATAAATGTTAACAGATATATGCACAACATGTGCACTGATATTTACGATGGACAGTTCCATGCAAATAAAGGATGTCCATTTGTAGAACTTAATATGGAATATCTAAGTAAATTTTTATGTAAGTTGAACGTTAGCACCAGTTTATGTTAGACTGATGTTTTATAAAACATGGTAAGCTGTTAATTACTTAAATTTAAAAAAATGTTTTACGTTCAATTGTGTATTTGGCTCATAATTGAAAGTGCTATTTTTTAATTTGGTTTCCTTGCTCAAAGTGAAATATTCATTGGCTATCCATGAAATATCAAAATTAATTACATTTTTGCCAGTGAAATATTGGATTCTATCAACTTGATAAAAATGATATATTTCACGCTATGACAAATATCAAAAGTGGTATTCTAACAGTGTGAAAATATCACTTTTTGGTATTGACCAATCATAACAGTATCTTCTATTCGCTGCATTTAAAGGCAACTATTTTTTTGTTAAGATTCTAATGAAGCGACGGTACAATAAGTGGTTGTTATGGTAAACGTTTGGTACACACTTAAGTATTTACATAAATATACCATTAATAACATTTTTATAAGCAATCATACAAGAAAATAGCAGAAAACGTCGGAATTGAGTTGAGTATCACATTCAAAATAGCGCTCAAGCGTGAGGTTATTAGAATATGACGCTAATAATTACGCTTCTGATTCCCGCCCTTTTTTAATGAATTACATTTTTCATGTTTTATGCTATAATAATGTATTAATTAGACAACTTAATGGTGTCTTTAGTAAAAACAAATATATTTCACTCGTGTGGCTCATATTTTGATATTTTCCACACGTGGTTCGCACAAGACACCATTAAATATCGTCTTTATTATTCATGAAATTTGAGACAATATATAAACTGATATTGATGCGAAAGATAGGTATGCAGATACTGAAGTGAAGTATGGTTCGACAGCAAGTCCGTACAAATCTTCAATCCTAGGGAATTATACATGCATCGTTCTGTCTGTGACGTTCAGCTTTAAAAAGTCCAGACCAAACATCCTACAGCTAAGCTATAAATTCTTTGCATTTAAACTACTTATCCAAATTGTACAAATATTTCCAAAATAACCAACTCTTCGACCATTTGATGGTTCTGAAATATACTCTTATTGTCAATCATCATTCTGGTATTGTTTATTTACAGCGAAGCATTCGGTAAAGGGACTACAGCTTACCTGATAGTATGGAGAGAATGGTTGCAGCCACAAGTACAAGAGTTTTGCTTGAGAAAACGAGTAGATGTGCTCCTCCAACCAAAACTGCGAAAGCCGTAAATGCGGTAGACACAATCACAAAACCTTGGCTCACACCCAGGGAACCTGTAAACCATAAAATAATTGTATTTGTTAGTTTTTGAAACCATTTTGTTTTTATTTGTTTGAGGGTAATGATCCATCCAATAAGTTTAACACGCGTCATGTCAAGTAAAATACACAGACAGAGAAACTGATATATCAGATTGATTTATTGGTTACTAACGACATATCATTGAATGAGTAAAACTGTGTTAACAACATCTATCTGCTTTAGACCACCATATTATGACTTCATGTTAGAGGTTATAAATACTGTGTACCGGGAAAGTTTCACCACGGTTAAACTTTCGCCTTTTCTCCCTCCTTAATTAGCACGAGTTTAGCATGACTATGAATATTAATACACAACAATCATTTATAATAATAAAAAATCATGTGATGGACCATATTAACACTCGGTGAATATAGATGTTACCAGTGACGGGCAAATGTGTGACTGGGCGAAAGTTTTTGGTATACAAATTATATAAATATAAATATATATCCATAAAAACTGCGTTATATTTGAATTTGGAAAAAATGCACCAAAACGGTTTGATAACTTAATGATTTATAGTTTGGACATGGTGTTTTGAAACTCATGATATATGTATCAGTTGGCACATTCGTATTACAAATATTTTGGAAACACAAATTCAATAATATTGTACTGCTCCATCTGTGGTCAAACTTCGCTCACAACTGTGTAAAAGACCGGAAAATAAATCAAAGTTATAAAAAAAACTGCACTTAGATGTCCATATTTGGTTATGAATGTGCCTACAAACGAACAATTTATAATGTATAGCATTTAACATAACCTTTTAACACGTAATTTACTAAAATACATGTACTTTAAGTAATCATTTCTCATTATAAGGTACAATATATTTAAGTTTTTATCTTTTCTATCTTTTATTGCCCATTTATCATATCGATAAAGTAGGTTTTATTGTGTTTATAAGCAAATATACGAAAGATAGCTTAGAATTAAAGAAAAAATACACTTAACCTAGTGACAACAGAAAAATTATTACCTTCTTTCTCTAGAGGTATCAAAGTCTGATAAGTATGATGTGGGTAATACTTTACAAATTGAGAGGGAAAAATGATATAAAGTAATATTAAAGTAGATTAACAGAACATATACACATTCCTATCGCGAAAACCAATTACTACATTACACTGAAACAAATTTAAACAAGACTATCCTCGCGCTCTCAAGTCAGATTGATCATAATTAGATTAAAAGAGCGACATATCAGTTTTTGTAAAAAAAAATATATGAGTCTTAATCGACGTTTCCTTCATTTTGGTTTGTTTATAGTATTCCATTTGCTTTCAGAGTTTATCCAGCGTTAAGAACATAAAACACATTTACAACGATGACAAATGAAAAATAAATAGTATACATTAAACCTACTTGCAGAAACATGGTCCCCGTCCTTGGTCAGATAACAACTGTATGTGTACACTTCCTCGCGGACGAATCCCGACACACGGGACGTACAGGTCGTCCAAAGTCCAACAACAGTAGACGTTGTCCACGGAACGCGAAGGACCTCTCCTGATTGGTCAATAGTTCCCCAGTGGTCAGTCACGTCTGCTATGGTAACACTGACCAGTGATACAGCAGACAAAACAACAGCCAGCAACACCAACAAATTCAACTTCTTCATACCGTTCCCTCTCTGCAGACAACGCACCTCAAAACTTGGCTCATTTTGAATTTATATTCCATCAGAACAAAAACGTCACGAATACTACTATATTGGACAAAGTCTTCGTCAACATTTTAAATTGAATTAAATAAACATAACTATAAAAACTTACGAATAATCACAATGGTTTCAGAATCGGATATAATCTAACCCCTGGCCTAATTAAATTTGAATGATTATTTTATCACGAGAAATGTCACATTGATGATAGCCGTTTCCGACATGACAGAAGCTCTCAATCACCTGACAAATATGTAAATACTGTTAATCACAATGTGTTTCCCCGGCTGTCAGATATCTGTCCCTGGTACTGTTGTCGACTCCATGCAGTCCGATCAGACACATTAATAGGACCAGAACTTCCTATATCCATTTGGAATCATTCATATTCGGTAGGACTGGTCTACATTCCATTGTAATTAGTCGGCTGTCCGTAAATCCCTCTAACAGGATATTCGTGTCCTCAACGCTCTATTAGGCCCTAATTACTTTAGCAGCACCCCCGGTTAACGCTGAGCGCACCCTCGACACCCTTAATCAAACCCCTTATAGATACTGATTTACTTACCTCCATACATACTGTAACATAAATGGATGTTAATCACATGGTCACTCGAGCAGATCGCGTAATAGGGCTGATCACAGAGACCGTCATTCTGGCCTTGATAAATGACTGCAGAACACGCACCAGAGCCGAAACAGGGATGGTCGAGTTTCCTATTCGTCCATAAGAAAACTGTAATTTAAAATGAATTATCACAAATTTTGAAGGGTTTATTTCGAGTGCAATCAGAGGCATACCTTCCTTTCACATGTTGATTACTCAACTGGTCGAGCGATCAAAACAAACTGCTTTGAGCCAAAGTGTCTGTCTAGCCTATGTCGTCCACATTATGTCACCATTTTTGGTTTGATGACATTGAGATTATATCTGAACAGCGGTTAATGAATCATACCTTGTTTTAGTACCATATGTTCTTATAAAAAAACGCAATTCCACAATAAAACAAAAGAAAAACAAAATACAAAAAAGAAAAAGAAATGTAATAAAAAATATCCTATCTACAAAAGCAAAAGAAAAAGATAACAAATGGATGCTGATATCATAAACTACGTAGTATATGTTATATACACAAATGGTGTCATTTTTAAAGAAAATCATTTTAGGCATCGTTTCTAACGTATCAATTGATAGTATAACATAACAAAGCATGTCTACTGTTTTTGCAAATTATAATATTGAAGAAACTGTTAGCATTAGCAATGTATGAGTGATGGCTTCAGAATAAACTTTTCTCTCTGTTTGTGCTCTTCATCTCTTGTAACTTATAGTCCTATTTGCTATACCAATACATGTTGAGAGTCTTACTTACAGAAGGTGAAAATATCTAGATACATCACATATGAAATGGTAGCTTGTGGATGATGCCGGGGACAATGCTAGAAACATCTCTATTGTTTAGACACAAACAACAATAGTTCGTCTAAATTGCTACTTCACTTTATCCTATTGTCTTCCATTTCTTGTATCTCTGGTGAATACCATCCCATGCATTTAGTTTTACATTACAAAGGTAAACAAATTATGTGCATTGATAATCAAAAAAAACCTCTGTTATAGATTAGCCTCTCCTTTATTTTGATTAATATATTCCGCAAGATTTTTCAAGAACATTTTGCAATACCAAAGACGAAACTGTGATGATGCCAGGGTAAACATTTGTTGTCAGACTATGTTCTGCATACAACATGTTTCTGTCAGTGGTGACATTCATTTATATTTCAGGATCCTATACTTGTGAAATAAATATATTAACCCCATGCTGGGGTTTATGTTTAACATCCAGTTTGTGGAGGCTTATGTTATTTCCTTTATTTTGTATATCCTCTGTTCCAATTGTTTCTCTGTATCGACTGTCATTAAGGAGTTAGTCCTGGTCTAGCTCTGTTCCCGTTGATTCTCTGTATCGAATGTCATTTAGGAATTAGTCCTTGGTTAGCTCTGTTGACAATGTTGTATTTTTCTTACTTCCTTTAAACGATGGATATAAAAGTAGAATAATACATTACAGCGTCAACGCACAAGGACGAAAATGACGCCGGATCACATGATGAGGTGAGTAGATACAAAAACAGTGATACACTCATGTAGCCATACAAAAACAGTGATACACTCATGTAGCCAATCACCATCTTCTTCATAGATTTTTTTATACATTCATTCATAATATACGATATTAAAAATTGAATTTGGCTGAGATGTCTGCTTCAATTACATTTTGTAAAAACAAATCGCAGGTGAAAGTGATTTTAAATTTTACTGTTGTAAATGAAAACCATCGCCGAACATGTGGATTATTATGATAACAATGCAAGTTATTAATCCAAAAGGAATGCCATCTACTGAGTTTTTAAAACAATTTTCGCATGTTACAGGTAATGTATAAAGTGAATTTGATATTTGAATTAACTATGTATCTTTCTGTTCCCCATATATAGATTTGATTGTTACAGAATTGTGTTTTTACATTTCGTGTCAATATGGGTATCAAATTGGTGGGTAGCATTATAGCAGGTGTAGGGAGACGTATAGGGAAGCCTTTAATTAGGGGTCGCGTGTCCCGACCCCACAACAAATGGATAGGCACACGCGAGTAATTTGAGGAGAACGCTATGACTGTTAGGAACGAACAGTTAAAAACTTAATCCTATTCCGATAGGGTATACGTAGGTCAACCTGTTTTGGCACCGAAACTCGGCCATGGTGGTCATACCGTGTATGAAAAAGTAGGCAAGTAATGATGGGACCAATCAGATTGATCCGCTATAAACAAAATAAATTTGAAAATAATTACAAATTAATGTATCAACTTTAACCATTCGTTGGACTACTGATATCTGCGTATCGAGTTTCCTTAATCTCAACACGCCATTGTGTGTTTCTCCTATCATAGACAACGATGCTATTCGATACAGCCATGTTTCACTTGAAACGCGACTCATCATAGAGAAGCTTTGTTGTTGTTCTTTTGAAGCATTGCCGTCTTAAAAATACATTAATTTAAAATTTGGTATATGAAACATTCATTTTGCTTGTTTACTACCCTGTAAATCATCCCCTCCTATGTTTTTCAACCTATCAGCATTATCGAAAGATTATCGTTTACATTATAGTCGGAATGTGTAAACAAATGCATTAGCTTGAAATATACATTAACAGGGGTTGTTGAGTACATTAGGCCGTCCGAGTTGTAGGTAATGGGCCTAGACTATCTAAATGAATACAAGGTAATATAAACAAATTGTTATGTATATCAATGAAATATGTATCATCTTCAGCGACAAGTTAAATCAGGGAAAGTCGATGTTCTCATTGCTTTATTGTTTTCCTATACAAATGTGCAAGCGTAGTTTTGACAAAGAGGTCAAGTCACACATAAGTGGAACAATATTAAAATATTTCACGTTATAAATACACCGCCTGAAAACTTCTGATTAATAAAACCGACATTGTAACACATCCTTACAAAATTAGCTAAAGTTAACTAAGGTATATTTTAAATGTATACCTTGTAGCTAACTAAACAATTATACTATGACAGTGTTTTGGTTCACACGTAAAAGGTAATAATCTCTGATAATTTACATACATGTTTAGTCCTCTCCGACCAAATACATAGCCACTATTTTTTTAAACTTGTTAAAAGATATCTATGTAAATTCTAACTGGCAAATGTTGATGTATTTAGGTTTATTAAATATCATTTTTCTTTTGACAAGTAGCATAGGACATCACCTGTCCCATTGAGTATAGTTTTTCTCTAAAACTTTTTTTGTCTAGAACCACTATTCATGGGTACAATATTGATATTAAAACTATAAACTGTGCATTAATTATGCATAAAAAGCTGTTATTTCATTCGTTTTAATGCTAAAATATCAAAGATTCACTCATTTTAATTGGCTGATACACTTTCAACTTCGCCTAGATTCCGATTTAGACCAAATCATTTGCAGTCCTGGCTTCCGTATCACAAACGTACTTAAGCTGAGATTTGAGTCCGAACTCAAGAACTCAAGCTCAGCATCCGTATTTCGTTATTACAAACTAAAAACCTCAGCTCAACGCCTCAAGCTGAGCCCAAAAGCTGGGACTGCCAAAGAACAGACTTAAGTTCGAACTCACGCTCCGGAACGAAACTGTTTGTAATAAAATGGCAGGCTTGGCGAACACTAATGATGACAAGAAAATATTTGTAAATTTATTTGTCACAATCATCCAAAATGTTGGAGACACACACATTCTTTACCAGACAATTATGCAGGTAAACCATATATATTGTCAATTTATTTGCCATTTGTTGAAAATACAGTCGTTTTAATAAGCCGTGAAATGAGTCTGAGATGACTGGGGTCCGAATACGATAGCCCTTGGCACGAGTGCGATTTGAAATATAAATAATCTATGCGTTATAGTTTCCAACCAAAGGACTTTAAATTAAAAAAAACTGAGCATGTGATCTTTTAAATGATGTATATCCATGTTATTTTACTTTTTGTAAGACGATATATCGTGGCTTGTTTGTGTCCAAGTCGAACCGACTTTTGGCTATGCTCCGAGATGATGTTACAATATAGACAATCTTTCGGTAAAATAACAATACTTGAATGTGTTGACATGCAATTCATGGTACAAGCAGTAACTTGTTTCCATAATTCACACATAACAGTATATATTTCATTCTGAAAAATAACAAAAACGATACATATACCTTGTAGGATGTAAATTTTCAAGAACGTCGTCTGATCGTTAGAAGCGCCTACTGACCATGATCAGTAATACTAAATGCATTGCGGGACTTGATTAATTAAAGGCACCAGACAGCGACTTATCATCAATGAACGTATCTTTAAGGTTTTAAACTAAGAAGCTCAAATAATGTCTTCTTTCAATAACACAATGAACAAGTTTAACCAAAAGTGGTCTCCCATTAATATTTGAGAGAAAAACATTTAATATAAATTGCATATCTGGGTAAACTTACAACCCGTATAGAATTAATTAAAACATGAAGAAAGATTTTTGATATTTAAGTAAATAACAGGCGTACAAATGTACATGTATGTATTATATCCGTCTTGTGTATGTGTTATGTTGATAAGTATGTTTATTGTTTTATTTGTATGTGTAGACCCAAATGGCATGGTAAATATATAATTATTTATTGTAATAGAAAGGATGGATGTATCCACATATTAAATGTCTTAATATAAAGAATGTTTGCAATGTCTATATAATGTCAGGCATGCAAGGTTGTATGTGTATGGGTACGAGTGTATGTGTGTACAATTATGTGTGGTATATATGTATGACTTAAGTAATATATTTGTCATTTCAAGTGTGTGTATGATGTATTTATGATTACATAATTTGTAGTTAAATTTCACATAATTGTACACTGTTTATGTTTTTGTGTTTATGTATATAGGTCTAAATTGGTAGGTACATTAGTATTTGTACTCTTTTTTATTTCCCCAGACATTCCTTCTCAAGTTAATCCAAATTACACATGAAAAACAACATCATTCAAAGAACATGAATTCGGTTTTAT